ATGTTTTGTTTTTTGGTTAAAATTTATAGCAAGTAAATTGTAATATATAATAAATAAGTGTAAATGGGAACGATACGAGATTATCTCTATCTATTCACTGCCGTGTGTGTAGTTCGCAATATATCCTCAGTAAAGTATTATTAAAAAAGAAGTACATATGCAAAAAATATATTATATTTTTTGTAATAGAATGTACTATAATAAGCCATTAGAAAGGCAATGTGTTAAGATATTTGTACAATGTAATCAAACGTCCGTATTAAATATACTATTATAATAATGTTAAAAAAACTTTTTACATCGTCAACCGCATCATTTGAATCTCGTTGAACGAAGAAAGACGCGCCAATTTCAAATTCGTATTTTCCAAACGAATTCAATTGTTCTCTGAAGCGGGCCTCAAACAAGCCTGCGCAACGATCAATTTCATCATCAAAATTAAAGTGTCTACCGGACTATCTCACGAAACCACTTTCCTGTCTTTTCCAAGCATCGAACAGGAATCATTCTGCCACAATGAACCGACACTGCGTTTCCGACAAACATGAAAAATTGTACATCTTGGAAGCTTTCGTAAGCCACGTCAGTTTATACCCTGAGAAACTGCACGGAATCGATGCGTCCAGCCTGGGCGTTGATATGCAATTTCCAGACATGCCATTGTTTCGAATCTTTCAAACGTCTTTTACGCTAACCAAACCGGACAGAAATAAGGAGTCGATGCGCGAAGCCAAGTTCCGTAATGTCTTTTTCAACGCCGGCAAAGTATATATATTCACCAGAGCTCCCGGAGAATTGGTAGAGAAACTACGTACAAGACCTATATTATTAGATGTTTACAAGATAAAGGAAATATTGCTGTGTCCCGAGGAAGTGAAGAAACTCCCTCTCGGTAGAACAAAGATCCCCATGTCGGGGTGTCTTTGCGACTACGTAACGATGGCGAGCAACGACCACAAGCATCTGCCTAAATCGTACCAAATAGATAACACATTTGGCCTCGTCGACGACGACGACGAGAAACCGTCCGGCTATATAAACATATTTTTGAGACTAACTTGCTTCGGCACGTACACGACCAACGCGTTTTCGATCTTCGAGCAGAAGATGCTTTTCAAGAATCTCGGCTCGTTCAATGAATTTCTGTGTACAAAAGTACCGTACGAAGACGAGGACGACAGAAGAGCGGCAGAGGCGAGCTCCAGATTCTGTTCACCTTGCAAAGAATTCGAACAAAGCGAGTTGGATACACCGCCGAGACCCATTAATATAGCAGGCCTCGTCTTCGTGTGCAGAGAACTGTCCAGGAGAGACAGCTATCCTCCCGAGGTGATTCCCCTGAATTACCCGCTAAAAGTCCCAATTACAGATGTTGAAGAGCAGGAATTCGACGTAGACAAGGCGCGGCGGAAAGGTTTCAGCGATATCGCTCCCCTTCGGCCAGAGTTCTTGATAGAAAAACAGGAGTTCTCGGAAACGACCGGTTGCAAAAATGCCTCGTGCGTTGGTGGCATTTGCATAGGAAAGAAATGTTGTTAAATTTACTGTCTTCCCAATTGTAAGTCTTGCATATAACACCCTGGTACAGTCTTGCGTATAAGACACCTTGTCTGTGCTAAAGCATGAAAATTACCACCTGTGAGTAATTTTTCCTAGCCGTTTCGGTTTCTGCTTACAACGAATAAAAATATTTATATAAACACCGTTTCCACCGTTTAATGATCGAGTACCCACTTTTATTATTTTACCCAAATTATATTAAGTACTCATAGTAGAAACATAGTATATATAGAATACCAGATTATCACTAACGAAGCTTTGTATATGTGTCTCTTGCTACACGTGTTTACCAAAAGCCGTCCTGACGTCGCTTCTTTTTTTTTCTTTGTTGCAGCTCTGGAAGGTCTACCTCTTGCAGCAGGTGGCGTGACTAGCCTGTATTTAATTGCGTTGAAAAAGAAACTGCAAGTGCATAACACCGGTCGGATTTTCATTAACCAGTTATAAATATCGTAACCTATATCATGCGCCGCCGTCACATTTTCCTAAAACATAGGACAAAGAAATCAAGGCCGGGGCAATTTAATAGGAGCGTGTGTACCTGTACCACCGGTTGTCGGAACTCGCAACCGCCGCAAGAAAAGCGTAATAACAGGTGGCTCCGCGTCGCGGCAGGTGGATCAATTTCTTTTTTTACTCTTTTTTTTCATCGTTCCTGCACGGTGTACGTTCCCCCATTGTTTTCGAGCGATGCACACAGTACCTGACAGGGCGTATTGAAAGCACTGTGGTGTCCGAAACCCGATCCGTGGCCGCGCGAGCTACAAGTGTCAGCAAGAGGGACGATAAATATGACGATTCCGTGGAGGAGCTTGTCACGATAGATGATAGATGAAATCGATTACCGTCGCCTTCCGCACTGTACAGGTACAGGTTATAACCTGCGTTATTATACAGTGTGCAGTATATACGGATGAAAGCTCGTGATTGTGGTCAAATAAAAGACGAAATAATGCCGCCGTCGTCCCATACGAATTGGACGAAGCCCTTGCTGAAAAGTAGACAAACAATGCAGATGCAGCCGAAACGAACGACATATACTGCACAGAATCAAAATTCAAACGGCAGTAGTACGGACCACGGTGCTACACCACTTGATAGGAGAATCAAAGTTGTTTTAGTAGGTGATGGTGCCGTTGGAAAGACCAGCCTCGTTGTTTCTTATTCGACGAACGGATTCCCCGGAGAATACGTTCCCACTGCTTTCGATAATTATAATGGTTAGTTTAATTATTTGATCGTTGTGGTAAGTTTTAAGGTTTTAAGCCTGCAACAATGTTGAATCTCCTTGAGAATAGTATATCTATATGTTTTTAGTCGCGAACATTTTTATCTCTGATTTGTGTTCTTGAAATTATTAATAACCGTGTTAGTATCTTTTTTCTTTTTGTTCTATTCATAACGATTGATAAAAGTTTTATTTTTACGTGATATTAAATTATTATTACATTGTTAGATAAATATTATTATTAAAATGTTTTTGTAGTGGAACGTGCAAAGTGATAGTCTATGAATAAGCTATAGATTTTTCTTGGCCTTCGTGTAATCTTATCTTCATTAATTATTGCAAAAGAAAACTAGAAGGGTATAATGATATACTATAATAATCCTAATAATCCCAATGATTGTCTTCAATGATCTTAATAATCCAAATTTGTATAAATTTCGTATTCTGTTTTTGTTGAAAGATTAATTATAGAAAAGAAATTTTAAATAATGGTCGTTCAATTTTTTCAGTGGTAGTCAATGTTGATGGTCAACCATTAAATGTTCAATTATGCGACACAGCAGGTCAAGATGATTTTGATCCTTTGAGATCATTGTGTTATCCAGAAACAGATGTGTTTCTAGTCTGCTTCAGTGTGGTATGCCCATCTTCTTATCATAGTGTAGCTTCTCGATGGATAAACGAAATAAGGAAGTATTGCCCAAATGCACCCATTATTTTGGTAATAATTTTATATTATACAATTATAATGACTGTTATATAATTTCTAAAACAACTATAAAATAGCTTAATTTATATGGAAAAGTAAATTTAACACGTTATTGCATAAGTTTAAATTATGGTAATGATTTTAGGTAGGCACAAAGAGTGATTTAAGGTCAGACGTGCACCTTAAATTACAATTAGCAAGATACGGCCAAACACCAATTACAACCACTCAAGGACATCAATTAGTTCAAAGAGTGGGTGCTGTAAGTTACGTAGAGACATCCGCGTTAACTCAACACGATCTTAAAGAAGCATTTGATCAGGCAATAGTTAGTGCTCTCAATACCCGAAGAGGTGGTGCAAGTTTATTATTTAGGCGTAGAAAACCCTTACCATTGTGGCGCAGGTGGTTATGTTGTTGGGAAAGACCTTCAAGTGGTGCATAAATATTATAATTATTAGACTCTCTAGAATATCCTCTGTGATCAAGTATGGCTACTTTGTTATCAGGATTTCTTAATCCTTAATCCTCGCCTAATATTTCATAGATTGATACTTCTCTTTCTTGAGAATTCTTTGACTTGAAAGGTATTTTGTATTGTTATAATTCCTTTATTTTTATTACACTACCAAATACCTCCATTAATCTTATTTTCATAATTAAAAATTAATCTAATAGATTGTTCAAAGCATATTTTATTCTTTACGATGACAATACTATGGCACTATTACAGGTATATTTTCTCCAGAGATTTAGGGACTTTTAGATTCTGATAGCTACATTGTATGCCACTCATAAAATTCCTGAAGCCAAACATGGCATAATTTATTACAATATTAATCATATTTTTGTTACTAGTATGTAATTGGCGACTTGCAGGTTGTGATTTTTTCTTTATATATAGAATANAATACTATGGCACTATTACAGGTATATTTTCTCCAGAGATTTAGGGACTTTTAGATTCTGATAGCTACATTGTATGCCACTCATAAAATTCCTGAAGCCAAACATGGCATAATTTATTACAATATTAATCATATTTTTGTTACTAGTATGTAATTGGCGACTTGCAGGTTGTGATTTTTTCTTTATATATAGAATA